AAGATCGGATTATTTGCATCTTGAATCAGTGCAAAGATCTGAATCTATTAATGCTTCATTTGGGTCAACGATTCTCAGATAAATTCAAGAGCAGAGAGCAGAGAGCAAGTACTTAGTCGTGTTACGAATGTATTTAAAAATTACCTTATGCTTTTCATTGACCTTTGGTGTGGAATGTTTGTTTTATAAATATAATAAAATGATTTTAATACCAAGATAACACGAAATAACACATTTTAATTTTGAAGACTGACAAATTGCACTACAAAAACAACCGTTTATACTATTTTCGTAATGTTTTGTTAGTTTGTTTTTTACACATATTGAATGCAATTTACTAATTTAATGACAAAAGCGTTTATTTCGTTCTAAACCTTGATCATAATATATGTTTTCAAAAGAAAAGTCAAGTAAAAGTAGTAAATAAACAAATGTAGCCGCTGGCTGGACGACAAGGGCGCTCATTTGTTACCGACACGCGACTTGATGTCGCCCGAACCTTTCCAAACAGTCGCTCAGTTCTTTCTTTCGTTCATTCGTGTCAATGAGCGACACTCATACACTGATCCACTGATCCATTCGGAGAAAACTTTGAGATTCGGATTAGTGCATCATTTTGATGTATTATGTCGTAACCAAGTAACCAAGTAATACAACTAGTCTTATAAGACAAAACGCGAAAAAATTTAGCCTATGTCACCCATGTATGATGTAGCTTACAGTAGGTGAATGAATTCGTCAATTAGATCTAGTATTTTTGGAGCCTATTCAATGCAAATCTTTCGTCATCATAATATTTGTATACTGCCTATATTGTATAGCAATAAAAGTAATGGGAAAAGGAGATGAAACTGATAGGCTAGTTGTATAAGGTTCCTGTGCTAATAAGATATATTAAGACGAAAGCAGCATATTGGATGAAATAAGGCGTCCAAATTTTACAGAAAAAAAAACAACAATTACAGCTACAAAAAATATTTTCTTTTACCTTTATTTTTATATTATTTGAAAGATGAAAAATATTAATCGTAAAATCTATCCAAAAAACTTATTTGGAGTCCCCCGCGATTTTTTTCTATCGAGACAATTACTAAAATGTATGTTTAGCATTCCCTTAGAACAAAATTAGTTTAAAAAGTGGTAATTTCGTACAACCTGGCCTTAAAGAAAAGTTATTTAAAAATCACTAGACTTAGATATCCACATTCGCCATCCGGACGACTCCTTGAACTACTTCTGTTGTATTTTACACTGTTTTCGACGCTGTTTGTTGTGACGAAGGTTTCTTACTTGGAGATTTTCAAAACAGATACATTCAAACAAATCAGATATATTCATATTTTCAGTTTAATTCCTCCTTTTAATCCACGTAATATTTTGATTAGGATCGACTTGTTACCTATTTTTCAGTCACTTTACAGATATGATTGTTTAGGAGATTCAAAATCTGTCTAAAGAATACAAAGAGCGGACTGCGCTGATAAAAAACCACTTACCAATAGACGATATCTTAAATAAAAAAAACACGAGGTAATCTCGGCCCGCGAAGGCATTGTTGAGGTCCAAGTAAAACGAATTTATTACGAACACAAAAGCGGAGATAAGCTCCGAGCGAAAACAATTCTAGATACGGAAAAGATAGTACAATTGTAGAAAAGATATACACTCAGTATGTCAACTGAAAATTAACAACCTAAACTAATCAGATATATTCATATCTTCAGAGCTCTGCTTTTTGGTCTGAGGGAAGGACCTACCATCCAAACCTGAGACAATATTCAAAAGTTAATTTATTATACTGACCAGACCTATCCAGGATACGGTGATGGCAACACCTTGAAACCGGTGGAAGCTATTTAACCACGGAAGTCGACTTAATTTACTGACATCAACATTAACAAAACAATGCTATTTAATAGTGTGATGAAAATTTGGAGAAATTACAAAATCCATTACTGATTTAGCTCATTAACTATGCACATTACACTGGCATGGTTTTTTTCTCTCGGATTTCACGAAACTTGAATTTATCACGAGCCACAGACGTAAACGTGGTAAACGAAAACGTAGCATTAACAACTCTCAATGGTTTTATTGACTTTACTATGAGAATTTAAAATGACCCAGGTCAGCTTGAAGTACGGTCATTATTCATTTTAATTACATGGAAACGTGAAAGTTTGATTCTGTTGCTATTTCGTGTACATTTATAACAGTTATAAAAGTTAAAATATGTAATACATGTAACCGGATATTAAGATACTATGTTTTTTATATCATTAGGTAAGAGGTGAGTTCTCCTCCTACCTTATTATATATATAGCGTTGATGGTGAAGAAAGTACTCGGCGCTGGTCCATATTTCTGCTCATGTTAGCAAAACTGTATGCGATAGCAAATCTTTTGGAACAGTCCTTGTTACTAAATTATAAAATAACAAATATATTGAACCTAAGGTGCAGATTACTGCATTAGGCTCATACTATTTTGAGAGGCGATTATTATGTTAATAACATTTGCAGAATTGAGGCCCAGTATTCGTGGATACTCACTTCACGCATAAAGCGCATGACATATCTTCTTTTGATCGAAACAGATCTGCCAATTCCGATAGATGAACGAACGTGTGGTTACTATTAATAATGGGTTTTCTTTAAATAACTATAATGTGTAAAATATATAATATTAGGTATCAGAATTTCTCATACTCGAAGGATATCAGGCGTATGTGGCATATTTTTTTATTTATTTTTAAGGGTATACAAACACTGATACAATTTACAGATGAGGTATAATTGTACACCAACATCGTTCACCACATCATGATCAAAACAAATTAACTTATAAGTGGTCGCACATTGAGTTTTACAAAATCCATAGGAGAGCTTTCAACTAGAATTAAAATCTTACAATTTCACAGAATAATTGATATTACTTTGCAAAAGCATAAAACATATTAAATTATTCATTTATAATGTACAAACAAAAGAGAACCAAACAAAAAATAAATATAAAAAAATATGCTTTTTTGACAATACATTACACCAACATCGTTCACCACATCATGATCAAAACAAATTAATTTATAAGTGGTCGCACATTGAGTTTTACAAAATCCATAGGAGAGCTTTTAACTAGAATTAAAATCTTACAATTTCACAGAATAATTGATATTACTTTGCAAAAGCATAAAACATATTAAATTATTTATTTATAATGTACAAACAATAGAGAACCAAACAAAAAATAAATATAAAAAAATATGCTTTTTTGCCAATACATTCATTCACATTCTATCTATTGACCTTCAATATTACAGAAAATGCCGCATCTTGAAACATAGGTTCTGGGTGGATCTCTAGTGGATTTCTGAACCATATTCGTTGTTTCTTTCTATACTTTCTTTTAGGCGTATTGTAACCAAAACATTTACAGGATAACTGGCATAACCTCATTATGTACCGGGGAGTGGCATTAGTGTGCTTCAATCATGAAAACATAAAATATCTATCCTTAAAAGGTATAAAATTTACACTGAAAATACCTTAATATAAGCTCTAAAATGCAGCAGTTGTTATTAAAACTAGACATACCTTTACGCATATCTCCATCTCAATACGGTTTCTATAATTAGGTTTATCAAAGTTTAGGTCAAGTTAGAATAGAAGACAATATAAAATCACATTTTGTTTTCCCATCCAGTTGTATAATTGGTACACAGTCAGTAAATCTAACCGATTTCCCTATCTAATTTCCCTCATCATTCAATTTATTACTATCGCACAATCGGGAATTATCCGCGGATATTCAACTAATGGTCCAATATTTGATAGTTGTTAATATACATACAAATGCTTCTGATGTTTCTGATCGGCAGATGATCGGCCATGATTTGTCTATGATCTTAATTTTCTTTCATTATTAGCTAGATGAATTCATATTAACAGTATGTAATTCTCCACAAATCATGGATGGTGGTGAAAATTGATTATGTATGTCCATCTTATTATTTAATATTTTCTGTTCGAAGAACTATGTAGATATTTATGTATAAATCACTATTTTGGTAAAATATGTTCAATATTCCTGAAATATATAATAAAAGTAGCTTGTTAAGAGAATATAAAAGTCCTGTACTGAATAATTATATAACAATGTAGTAAATGCGATGTTATTATAAGTTTATGAATATATGTTTTTTCTATCTTGGTGAATATTTGATATATCCTCTGTAATGTTTGCAATAAATGAATAAATGTATTATTATCTATTTCATTTAAACTGTACCAGGATATCCAAATCCAAAACAATTTTCTTTGAAAGATATGAGTTTTGTATTTTATGTTGGCGACCATGATTACACGAAAAATTCTATTCTTTATGCTTGTGTGACGATAAACAAACTCTAGTAAATACGATTTTTAATTTAAACATGGTTAATGCAACACCAACATTGATTAGAATACACCTCGAGAATACCTCTCGAGAAACAACCCTTTTCGCGAGAGGTATCATACATATGCAAAGTTGTCATTAATTCTGCTTTAGGAACATATAATAACCATTCTACTTTGACCATGATATTAGTGCCGTAAGACACCGTGATCAATATTACGTATCAACCGTTACACGCTATAGATGTCATTTGACATTCATTACCAAATTTCGCTCTATCAAAATTCCTATATAGGAATATCGTGACGCAAATCTCCAATTACGAGCAATGGACCGAGAACCTCGATTGGTTAATGCGGGATTTATATTGGGGATTGAGGATTCAGTAATTGGAGATTCGAGCGTAACGGAGCGGGATTATACCGCTAGATTATAGTACGACTAAGTGGGCCATGAGCCTCAGCGTTATTTCTTAAGGTTTTTGATAAATCTATTACTTTTAATTAAAACAATGTTAATGCATAATTTGTACGAAGCATTTCCCTTAGTAACCAAAAACTTAAATCTCAATGAGAATACAGGATTCATGTCAGAAGTATTAGTGAAATGAAGGTGCCGATGGCTTGGCAGGTGGGTTTTCACTTAATTAAAACCTCTAAAACTCGAAAAAGAGCAAACCATAGAGTCCGAACACGCTTGAACCTATTAAGTATTACCTACCTATTTAATACTTAAGTACTTCTTCAAAAATTGGTTAAGTTTATGTATAAAGAGCAGAATACATCAGATATTTAATAATAAATTTTAATATAATAATCTGTTCACAAATTAAATAAAGTTTACTACAGCAATAAATTAATCATTCACTAAATTAAATGCATGACTCCACGTGGGATAGGAACTTTCAACTATTTGGCAGTTTAATAGAAGTGACTAAAACTGTTGTTACCGTGTGGTGGGGATAACTTTGAAACTACACCATCTTGAGATACCTACGTAATACCTGACAGAAACACGATCCTGTAAACCGGATGGATGTTATTTATATTACTTAAGAAGAACGATATCTATACTAATATGATTATAAACAGGATAGATTTGATTATTTGATTAGTATATAATGTTGCTACATCATACAGGCAACACAAGCTATAACTTGTGTGGGCAAATCGCTGGACAATAGCAAGAATACATTATGATTGATCTGATCTGTCTGCTATATTATGTATCAAAAAATTGTAATAAAATATTAAAAGACACCAAAGACACATTATTTTTGATTATACTACAAGATATGATACAATAGGTACGACGGTATCGAAGACTGAAAATGGGCTCAAGGAAAATTAAAAACACAAAGTTATATATATATAGTTATAATCGAAACTCTGTATTTGAATGACAGATATCAGAATATTACTGTACAGTTATCGATGAAATAGAAGATTCGAGTAAGCAATTATAAGTATGTTCTAATCGACTTGAATATTTGAATATAACTTGCCAGAGAGAATGTGATGGTCGATGGTAGAATAAAGATGGTGGAGAGTAGATGAAGAAATGGATGATCTATAACCACCGATTAAAGACCAGTTTTGATAATATTCGTTACTTTTTTCTTTCTTTGATAATCATTCTAATCAGCCTTTTTACATTCCCACTGCAGGAGCTCAGGCGTTTCTTACGGATGGTTAAGGAGGATGAGGCATGACCCTCCACGCTACTAGCTGAAGGTAATAATTATTTGGTCATCCATCCTGTGACTAACACTTGTCAAAGTGCTTAACATCAACGATCGTGGGCCGCGGCGCTAATCCACTACGCCACGGAGGTGTTGAATATTAAACTTATCTATTTCGTACATTCATGTTCCTAGTTATGTTTGAGAATGTACATAGCTTATTGCTACACAACAACATTCGTGGTGGCGATTATAAGTTTCCAGTCTGCCATGTTGTCTTGTCTCAGAGTTCAATGCAACTGTGCTAGAAGGTATAATGACATTTTACTTTAAACTTTATACTTAACTTATTCATAATTAAACCGAACGTTGTTTGAAAATTCGTTATAAAAATAATCGGCAAGAGACTCAAGACTTTAAGTTAATATAACAATAGCCTCGAAAAAGCTATCGGTAATTAATGTACATTCAATAAAATCACTTAAGGTTATACAAATCTTATTCAAGTACCAATATATATATACACTTTTACAAAAAGAATAAATAGGTTATTTTAAAATCTGGTCTTATAATTAATACAAAGTCTACAAAACCTCACTATGGCCATTATTACATTTTAACTACCTTCATTTTTAAATATTAAATAATTATTAAAATAACTTTGAGCGCATCGCTAATAGAAAACAACAAAGGTAACACCCAGACATAAAAAAAGAAGTAGAGATGTCAACCAATGTCAATTTATTATTATGTCTTTGATAGCAACTCGCAACGGTATTTGAGCCACTCGGACGCGAAGATCATAAATAAGATATCTATATTATATACTAGCTGACCCGACAGACTTCGTCCTGTCAAAAAGATTTGTAATGTGGCAGTTTTTTTGCCTACGTATTTAAAAAAATTCTCCTGAACAGAACCGTCACCCTGGTGATAGGGCGTTGTGAATAAAAAATAATTAAATAAAACATATATAAGGATTTAAAAGTAAGTAATCGCTTTATTGTTAATCATGTGAATCATAATTATTATTGCAATGTATTAATAGTAATAGTATTAAATATAGAAAAAAGAGATTTTTATGATCATAAAAACACATTACACACAACAGCATTATAAAAGTAAACTATTCGAATTAAAAAAATATATAAACATTCTCAAGGAAAAATGCTGGAAGAATCCATCTACCTGTACCCCGGAATGGGACTCGAACCCATTCGCGATCCAGGGACTGCTCTAACCAATGAGCTATCTAGGACCCAACAGCTTTGCTACTACAGAGCGTATTTTCATCAATGTTCCGGCAATACATGTAATAACGTGGAAATTGATGCATTTTATCTCGCGTGCCGAAACTAATACAAAAGAAACGCGAGTTTCGGAACGCGACATTAAACTCCTCCAACTATGTATTCTGTGCTCCAACGCACACACGCACATTGTTTTGATAGATATGATCTTTGACGTTAGGAACACACCTACATTGCTTAGACAACAGTGAGTGCTTGTAATTTAATATGAACTTTATACCATAGCAATAAAGCTCAAATTGACTACGTTTTAGTTACAAATCATTTGTATGGGAAAAAGAAAAGGGCTATTTTTAGGGTTTTTCCAGCAATAATTCTAATTTTTCTCGCCGTAAAAACCATCCTTGAACTTCAACGAACATTTTAAAAAAAGATTTGGCCAAATTGGTCGAGGCGTTGTTGAGTTATGCGCTTACCAACACATTTTGCGATTCATTTTTATTTATATAGATTATATTATTTATCATTATATTGTAAAGCTGACAAATTTGTTTGTTTGGTTGGTTGAACGCGCTAATCTCGGGAACTACTGGTTCGAATAGACAAATTATTATTGTATTGAATAGTTCATTTATTGAAGAATTCTATAGGCTATATTGCTATATAGCATCATGTTCATACTATAACTAATATGGATGGAACAGCAATAAAAAATGTTGGAAAAACAGGAAAACCTAGCGAAGCCGCTGGCAAAAAGCTAGTTTGAATATAATTATTTCTGAAAAAGACAATCTTATGTGAGCACGGAACCAGAAAAGGGTCCGAAACGTCAATAAAACTAAATACAAACGCGATGGAACCGTTTAGAGGTTGTTTCATTTATGGATAGTGCGCGTGAAAATATAAGGAATCAAAATATAATTACTCTAAAACTAAGTGCGTGACAATTCAATGATCCGATCTCAAAATTCCTATGTTTCAACTTCATGTGAGTACCACGTTTACTATTTTTATGTTAATACTCTCAAACAATCCCCTTTACATTGGAAAAATTCCAAGGAACTGAAAACAAAGGAAAGAGAGAGAAATAAACATCTAGTTTTACTTGATTCGGTTGAAGTTTTACGAAAATACTTTAAAGATGTAATAGTTATGTTTCGCAGTTCATGCATACGCGCGGATTTTTATCGAAAATCTCTGTTAGTGTTCAGATTTTAATATTTAAATGAATTATTTTATATGAAATTAATGAATATTTTAATATAACATTATTAATTGTTGTCAGCTATTTGATCGTAGTATTGTTTTTATCAATGACCTATCAGTACCTTAGTTGGAACAACGCAATATTTATTTATGTTAGTTTATATATATGGAACTAGCTGTGCCCGCAACTTTGTCCGCGTGGATTAGTGAAAAAAATCGTAATAAAGAAACGACTGAAATGGGAGAAATAATACCACAATTTTTATCTCTAATAATGCACAAAAAGTGGATACTATACACAATACACAACATTTCTTATTTTTTTTCTCAAATTTAATTCTTTCTTTTTTTAATAATAGAAGTTATCACCGATCCATATTCTTAATTCTAACTAATAATAATAAATAGATACCTTTGTCTGTATTTAGTGGTAAGTAGCAGTGTTAACCTAAAAAAACTACTATTCTGGTAACAATTTCTCATGTGTTGGTCTTTCCTAAGTTGAAAATAGTTAGTCAAAGAAAAACAGTATCATTTAATCTAACGTCTTATTTACGAGAAATACATTGTCAAATATATAGACACGCATATATAATATACACCTACAAAAATGTAGCACACGTGTTTAGAAGCGCATAAAAATATGATTACATACATGAATATTGCGCCATGTTCCAACAAAATTACATCCATACAGTTCAAATTAGTAACCTCATTTCTTTTAAGATCTTTCAAAACATACAGATTAAATCGATAACCTATTTTTTTAAGTCAGTTAAAAATCATCATATTTTTAATAGTTCTTATGTCTGTCAAATTCCTTTTATAAGTACCTTAATTTTTATTAGTTTATATCTTCAAAATTACCCTAAGTTGAAAACTAAGCAATTAAACAAAATAATCATAGCAATCCGACGTCCAGTTTGCGAGATACCCGTGGACAAACATACATACATTTATAATATTTTATACACGTATTTAAAAGCCCATACAGACTTACATGTAAGTATAAATATTACGTTATTTCAACGAAATTACATACATACATCTCGAATTGATAAACTCCTTTTTTGAAGTCAGTTAAAAACTTTAAGGAATTAAAAAAGTAATAAAAAACAGAGTAGAGAGTAAAAATTAGTAGTAATTTACTTTTATTTTAAACAGAAAATCGTTGTTTACTTATAAGAAGTACCAGGGGCGTAAAACATAAGGAGTTAACTCGGCGTCGTCGGTTGCATTATGGACATTTTACAAGCGAACTTTGAACACTTAACTCTGACCAGCTCAGCCCAGCGCAACAAGTGCCGTGCATTATTCGGTTACGTTTTACTGTTATTGTCACACTTTATGCACTCCTAGTACTTTAGTTATGATTTTTAAAGAGTTCCATAAAAATCATAAAGAAATAATAAGGAAATAACATAATCTTAATTAATCTGTTTTTAGTACATTAAAAATAGCTTTTATAAAGCGGGAATGTTATCAACTAATTCTAGCAGTGTCAGTAATAAGACAAGTCCCATAAACCAATTTATTCAGACAATACAAAAACAAAACAAATTCAATCAGAAAATTGAGTTGGATTGTACTTTTGTAAAACTTTAATAACTTCACTCCATTGTTTATAACTACACTATTGTTAATTTACTACATAGTAAGATTATAATTTAGTCATCACACTGTCAGTAAAATTAATTACAATAGTTTATATAAAGTTTACACGTTTAATTATACTTTAATTTTTCAAAACCTACAACGCTACTCCAACTATTAAAAAACAATAAAAGAATCTGACGCAACACTTTACAGTTATCCAAATATCTTGCCTTACAGAAAATACACATTAACTAAATACAAGTTTAACATAAACGGTATTATTTTCCTTTCCTCATCTTTCTTGATTTTAATAAAAGTACATTTTACTCCACATACAAAACAGGTTTGAAGACTATTAGTGTCATTCGAGTACAAGCATGCAATTATAGCAGTCGTGTGATTCTTTAAGCACTGTTTAAAGTTTGTTTACATGTGAAGAGAGTGAATTTCATCAAGAACATGATTAAGTTGACATTTTGCTGTATCATATTATTGAAAGGTAAACTATTCGATTTAATTAATGTAGTTTAATAACTAACTTTTCCTCTTGGTCTATAAACAACAAGATGTTTTTAAGAAGTCAACTTACCAATCTTCGTCTCGCAATAGCCTTTTTTTTTACCAATTCGATGAAAAATAATTCCAAGAAAAATATTAAGAAAACATTGTGCTTATAAATCCACTAAAATAATAAATTTCCCTTTTGAAATTAATCGTTATTTCAAAACCATACTTTCGTAATTTCAACAAAATGAAGATTAGCAAATGAGAAATTAATAGGTACTGTTTCTAAAATGTATCACTAATTGCATGTTAATAGTAACTTAATCTAATTGGAATTTCAATTATTTAGTCATATTTATTATGATTAATTTGTCTAATAAATTTATATCTATTTTCTTTAACCTTTTCAATACCTAAGAGATATATAAACACTTGCTTAATATTCTTATTACATTGTTTTAAATAAAATTCATTTGTTTGTTTTAGTATTACCAATTTCACACACTAATGCCTTAGCAGTAAACGCTGTAAGTACATATATAACTATTTTTTTAGTTTTAAGTTCACTTAAGTTTTTTTATGCTTTTATAATAACTTCTAATCATATTAGAGTTCTTGATATATTCATAACTGGAGATAAATTTGTATATAAATATTTAATTTGCTATGTATCACTCAAGCCAAACAAGCAAAATTTTCCTTAGTAGTTAATAGATTTTATCTAAAATCACATACAAAATCAGGATCGGTGACCACTACATTGCTGGTCTCATAAACGAGACGAGACCTAGTGAAAGATCACCTTTAAGACCCTCATCGACTGCTTCTTGTTTTTTTCTCAAAGTACATCTCGTACGAATTAACATGACACCTGTGGGTCTATTCTATTTGTTCTCGAACGAGGGTTCGGAAAATTTCGGAACGTTCTTATTATTTGATTGAAATCACATCCGTAAGAGTTATCTGCGCATCAGAGGCGGTGTGAGTGTCAGATACCTAATCTGAGAAACTCGGTATTAACATTTATTCTTTATTTTTAGTTTTGTTCACACACAACAGCGTTTTTATAAACGTCTCCTCAAATATTTTTCCCGTTACCAACATTCTTGTAGAAGTCAGATACCTAATCTGAGAAACTCGGTATTAACATTTATTCTTTATTTTTAGTTTTGTACACACACAACAGCACTACGACTTACTACAAAAAGGCCTTTCACCAATCTGTTTAAAATTGATTACAGTAACTGTTATACTGGTTCATAATAAAATAACAATATTTGTGTATAAAAACACAGTAATAATTAAGTAGAAGTCTGTCATATTAAAATATATGAAACTATTATTTTACCACCATGCCTAATTCGGAGTTTTTTAGTATTGGATGAGTTTCCCCTTTATATATTCGATGAATTTTATAATTTACTCATTTATTATTATAAATTATAATACCTGAGGAAGTTTTGAGTGGGAATAAAGTTTCTATTTACTATTCCATTTTATAATTCTGTTATTTATCACAAACATTAATAAGTATACAAAAACCATTATGAAATAATTGCTCATTGAAAGTTTGAATGTACTTTTTGCTTTGTTTATTATATTGTCAATATAATAAACATAAAAAACTATGTATGTATGACCAAAAGTTATATTTCAATATGTCATATATGTAATATCTTCATTTAATTTCTTATTACCAAATCAGTACAAAACTAATAGAAAATTTAACCATATTTTAGGAAGACGACGAGAAATGGTCTTGGGGTTACGCGACTGATTTAAAGCCAATTGTAAGTATATCTCGTGCTATCTCAACTGATAATGTGCTCAATTTATATCACTTGACATCATAAAAGACTTAATTTTCCTGCTGGGGTACAGAACCTTCTCGAGGAAAGAAACGCAGAAAAAACAGGCATGGTGAAGTATTCCACGCAAGATTGAGTGCTAACTACATTGCTACAGCATAGATCATATTCTGAAACATAGGAAGCTCGACATCTTTTATTGCTGACAACACGCTAAAGACACTACATTATCGATGTCCTTAAAAATTATACACCTTTCTCATCATCAGTCCTCTTACATCCCCACTGCAGAGGTTAAGGCCTTCCAGGTGAATGGTTAAGGAGGATGGGCCATGCTGGCCCAATCCCTTTCTCACAGCCATGCTCCCAGCCCCTTCACGCTGGCCCAATGCGGATTGGAAGGTGCGGTATAAGGATTTCCAATGCACTGGAGACCAATGGCTTAACATGCCTTCCGAAGCATGGAGTAGCACGAGATGATATTTTTTGGGCACCCGTCCCGTGACCGACCGACCCTTGCGAAAATTACTTCCCAAACAATGATAGGATGCCGCGGCGCTTATACATTACTCCATCGAGATCTCTCTCATACTTTATGTCTTTACAAACTTTTTACTGCTGAATTTTAAATCCTAAAGAACCTAATCTGGATTACAACGCTCCATGTTAAATAGATAATTAATTGAGGTAGTTCCCGGTTCGCCAGTTTTATAATAATATTTGTTTTTTTTAGGTAAATGTTAATACAAAGTTGCATAATAGACTACAAAGAAATCCATGTGATCCGGTAAAATTACCTGACTTCAGAATGCCGGGCCGCAGGATTAGTCACACGAGTTAGTATCATATTAATACATTCATGAAAAACTTTTAGGAACTCCCCTTACTATTAAATTAGATCATGACGATGACTATTATTATACGTATATTCTTTAATTTACAGAATGTTTGGAGTACATATGGGATATAAAAGATAGAGAAGATAAGGTCATAAGAGACGAAGAATGTAAGTAACAAAGATTAAATACATATTATCAATATTTTGTGAATGAATTTATATTGGTAGCAATATTGTTATTTACTAGATTATTATTTCTGTACATATATTTTTTTCCCTTTTTACATATAATGATGTAGGTACTTTTCTACCTAAATTTGGTGAGTAAATTAGATCATTAACCAGTAGGTAAAGCTTATTTCAAGTAATAGTTCTTATGACTTTATATGTATTACTTCTCGTCTCGTCGTATATATATTACGTCCCCACTGCAGGGGTTCAGGCCTTTCTTATGGATGGTTAAGTAGGATAGGCTATGACCCTGCACGCTTGTCCAATAAGGATTGGAGGGTACTAACTAGACTGCCAATGCAGCCAGGACCAACGGCTTAAAGCGCTTGTTAACAACAACGATCGCCGGCCGACACGCTTATCCACTATACCACCAAGCTACTCGATAAATATTACTTTACGTAACGTTTCAGGTAAAAAATATCGTCAGTCTCTAAACAATAACACTGAAGATAACCAGGTGTTTCATACAGCTGGTGTCGGTGGACGGGACACTCTGCCAGGGGAATTTCCACACATGGTGAGATTACTCTTGAACGCAATCTCGATTTCGATTTCAATTGAATCCAATGACGAGCTCAAACCAATGCAATAATTTTTTATCAATAGAGGAGAATTTGAATTAAAAAGTAACAACTATGTTAGTAGCTAATAATAATAGCGTTAATTAAATATTAAAAATATTTGCATATTCTCCAGTTATTACTTCTGTCGACTGTGGTTACGGATTTTAGTTCATGCCATTGAAACATAATTCTTGAGTGCAATTGAATTGAGATTGAGAGCATAAACATGAATTTAGCTGCCGACCGTTGCAGCAATAGTGACGATCACGAAACTCAATAGGGAATATGCGCCTGATTCAAAAAAGGGTTTAATATATTTTATTGCGATCATTATTGCTTTGGAATGTCTATGTTAATATTTTTCAACTTTAGTTCGTTTTTAATAATAATTATTAAAAAGTGCAAAAAAATGTGGTAACTTCAAAATATTCAAACGCCATGCTTCTTATCAGAGCGGATTTGACGTAAATGTATACGTATAGGGATGTCATTATTATAAAAAGTTAACATCGATGCAATAACATACATGTATTATGTCGCAAAATAAACAACAGATTGCAATTAAAAAAGTCTATTATACTTTAAAAAAACGATTAGTTGTTAATCGATTTGGCTAATTGAATAATAACACAGGTCTGCGAAATTATTTTTTTGAAAAGTTTTTTTCATAAACTGTTCTTATTCGTTATAATTACGTTATAAATAATATAAAACATCATTTATTTGTTATATATCACGTCACACTTCCCAGATTTACATGGTTTAATATTAGCTTATAAATAACTACAAGTCAAAAATTTTTAAAAATATGGAAAAGGCTTTTTTTACAATTTTATTAGCTTTATTGAGTTTGAATGAAATAAAAAAGAGTAAAATAAAATACGAATAAAAAAAACAATCGATAACGTGTTTTCTTTGAAAGGAAACTGCGTTTTGTTGGTTTTTTGTTTATGAGTTTTTACTTCATCTCTACATATCATCCAACAATAGTCCGCCATCATATTAACGTCCCAACGGCCTTGAAATCTTCTTTCCATCTCTTTTATATCTTGATGGACTGTAATCGCCACAAATTTTTTGGGAAAACATTAATATGAGATTTCAAAAAATGGACTTTCCAACTCACATTACAATCCAAGTTTTTATAGGCGTTTAACATTTCTGTGAAAATACTGTTATGATTACTCTAACCTCCAATTTTGGTCTAATACGCCAATCAGATATTTCCCAATGTAAGTTTTTTGCTCTACTATCCCATTCACAAATATAATACGGGAATTTTATGTACCCTTGCTATTAACCAAGAAGCATAATATGAGTTTTAAGTCTACCCAAATGTTCGGAGTATTTTATGTACTTTAAAACAGTTCTCAAGTTTGCATAACTGAAAAGATGAACTGAGTGAGCTACAGGTATTGATGCAAATTTATTGCCAATATATAAGAGCAGAGCTTTTAAACTTCTTTTTGATGAATCTATAAAAAATTGCCACTCTTCTGCTTTGTATTCGATGTCAAATTTTTGTATTAAACCGCTAACACTACTATAGCTAACTACAGCAAAATACCAAACTATCTTCTATCTTGAAATACTGTCAAAATCTGGTTCTCTTTTTCGATATCACTAAAATGTCGTCTCCGCATCCAATGAATTGTTCTCTTTTAAGTGTGAACCGACTAATTCTGCAGCATCTTTGGGTAATTTGTATGAATGATCAAGGTTCATTTGTAGGGTGTATGAAAAATTTATTATAAATATAATATGCCGATAAAAAAAAATGTGACGTGTTACAATAAAAAAAAGTTTATATTTGCATTAAGTATGTCAACATGTGCGAGTTATTCTTAAAATTCTCAAAAAACTTTTTCATCGCAGACCTGTGTAATCAATCACTCAAAATCCATATTGATTTTAAAGTGACATATCTGTAGTCGTGTACTTTAACGTCACCACAAGCGCGCCAAAAATTCCGGTGTTTAAACTGCTCGTAGCTATTACTCATTTTCATCAATTACTAATGTTACAAAATTTTTGATTTTCGGTGCCAGGTATTTTTTTACAGTCAAATATCGATGTAAATTATCATATAAAAACATTTTCCAAAAAAGTGCATATTCCCTAATGGCGCAAATGTCGCACGTTAAGAATACCAAAGTCCATCGATTACAATTGATTTCAAAAATAAGCCTGTTGTCCAATCTTACATACCCTGGGCTTAGGTTCTTCCTGTGTTAAGGTAATCTTACATACACCGCGTGCCCCGCAGGGCAAGCCGATGAGCTTAAGGCTGGCTTAAGTCCCCGAATATTTCAGGTCTTACATTTATTTGTTTATTATTATCATATCAGGGTGCCATCGGTTGGACATCAGCTTTAGGTTCATGGATATTCAAATGCGGTGGATCTCTCATCAGCACTAAGTTTGTGCTGACGGCAGGACACTGCTCCAAAGCTTCAGACAGGGATACTACAATCGCTGATGTTGATCCTAAGATTGTAAGGTTCGCAGACAAAAACATACTGGTGAGAATGAAAACGTAATTATGTTTGTGTAGATAACTGTCATTTTAAACAGACTTCCAAAAAGGAGGAAGTTGCCAATTCGATTACTTTCTTTTTAGTTTACGTATGTTTCGCAAAATCTTCGTCAACAGTCGATCTATTTTGATATCTCTTTTATTTAAAATAAATAAATATTAGGCAACATCATACATAGTTTAGATTCCAAGATGAGTAGCTAAAGCCCTAGATTGGAGTATCTGGGACAACACCCAGACCCCGAGGGAGATAGATAGATTAGTTTATTCAATCAGTTGCGGAACACAACTACATTACACAGTAAAAATATTTATATAAAAGAAATTTAAAAAAGAAGGGACACAACCTTTATATAGCAGTTGAAATGGTCAAGGCTCAGTACAATAACATCACCGATGTACAGATGAAGCACTATATTTTAGTGTTTTTGAAATTTCAAATTTTGAAACATTATTGGAGATAATAAAGAAAGTCCGGTTTCTACGTTGACCAGACCGGGAAACGAACCCAGGATCGGCATACAAACCACTCATCAAGAAGTTGTTGTCGTTTTGGTAACATAAGACGTTTACTAAGCTAGCTGCATAGTCATATGACTATTTTCTATCCCCTATTTTATATGACTACTGGTGACAATACTGAAATTACATAATGGAAAAAAAAAATCATTTTTTTTAGGATATTGATGACAACGGATACAATAAAGCTCATTTAGACGTAAACATCTTAAGAGTAATAAATCATCCTAACTACAAACCTCCGAAGAAATACAATGATATAGCCCTCATAGAGTTACAGAGAGAAGTGTCATTCACTTCTTACGTACAACCGGCGTGCCTTTACACCGGTTCTGATAAGGAACTGGTTGGAAAAAAAGCTTATATGACAGGATGGGGCGTCGTAGAAACAGGTGATTGGATTTTTATGGGTTTGAAACTCTTGTATTACTATGTATAAGTACATGCATTAAATATATTTATAGGGTTGCATTTAAAAAATTCAACGGAAAAACCAACCTAACATGTAAATACCGATAAAAAAAATTTAAAAGAACATTTTCTAGAGTTTTAAGTCGTCACTAAGCCGTAATTAACGTTTGTGCAACTAGATATGATCCAACTACAGTATAAGTGTACACTTTAAGAAGCGTTTTATTGACACATAGGAATTTAATTTAAAACTAAACTTTGATACCGCGCACACCTGTTTATACAATGATGAAATACAGTCCTATACGTGTAAAATCAGGACTGCTGACTTTGCATTACGTATCCAGTATCCGGTACAATATCGCATGCAACAGAAACACAAACACTAAAGACAGAAATACCGAGTGTTTTAGGGTCTTATTTTCCAAATCCTCCAGTACGCGCCGTCCACACCACCCACTAGCCCGCTTACCCCGTCCACACCTCCCGCTAGCCCGCTTACCCCGTCTATTTCTCCCGCTATCCCGCTCACCACGTCCACACCTCGCACTAGTCCATTTACGCCGTCCACACCTCCCGCTAGCCCACTTACCACGTCCACACCTCCCACTAGCCCGCATACCTCGTCTACATCTCCCGCTTATCCGCTATCAGCTTCACCCTAGCACCACTAGCTAAATCATCCTCCTAGCCTTTCTGGTCTCCCTTGACCCACTCGTCCTGCCAATATGTTTTTGTTTTAATATAATAGGGAAGATGACTAATTTTAGCTTATCTGTGCGTCTTGTCTAGTAGATTATTAAAAAATATTAAACAATTTTTTTTACGTAATTAATAAATTACGGCGATATATTGACTTGAAATGTCGTATAGCGCGCTCCTACTCCTCAACTTTAATGCCTGTTATGTAAGCTATTTCTTGTTTTATTTAAAGAAAATGTCTAATATAACAAACTAAAACGACGACTACGGACGGACGACGACGGACTAAATAGATTTTCCTATTTTATCTTGTCATCGTCCCTATAATACACATCATTATGAATCCGCGCATTATGAATAAATAACAATCTGCTTAGGACTTAAATAAATTTTATTATTAAAACTCCCTTATTTATCATATTACCTCGAAATTATGATTCTATAGAAGAGACCCAGTATTAGGAAATAAAGGAATCTATACCTATGCATCTAATTCATATAATTTGTATTTCAGTGAACTTTACTACATCTCCTGAACTTCAAGCAGTGTTGCTTGACGTATTAGATAAACACCTGTGTGACAATCTGCTGCGGCCATCATGTAACAGGCATTGGTGCGGCCTACAGGACAACCAGTTATGTGCTGGAATCTTAGCAGGAGGTGCAGATGCTTGTCAGGTGCTCATATTAATTAAATAGGTTTATTTGTTATAACTGTCAATATAACATTAATTAACGTTTAGATTTAATTTATCCAAAATGCAATCCGTTCTTTCGTGTTATTTATGACTATCTTAAATTTATTAAAATAAGTACTCTGAAATAAAATTTTGGTCACCTAATTTCCGCAACACATAAAAAACTCGCTACAACCGCGCCATCAAGCTCCTCCAAAATATGATCATCATTTATTGTGTTCTTTGACTTGTGTCATTATTTAACTTATTTACAGTTCGTTTACATTGGTAGATTTGAGCCACATGTGGGGTGAGGACTTATGTGGCACATTTTTATTGATCGGTCATTGCTTAAACAACCAATGAACCCACAAAGGTCACCCGCACTCCGCGTGCTGCTCCCAATGACTTTCTTAATTGCATAATATAATATAGTTTTTTTTTGCTTAGGGTGACTCAGGAGGACCCTTGCAAATGGAAATTTCTCTTCCGCAAATTGACACCAAGTGAGTATATTTTGATGAATATTCTAGCTGCTAGCTTCAAGTTGGCCGCTCCAACTTTATCATACCTGCCGCTTTACCGCACGTCACCTCTTGGCAAACTAGTAAAGGAAAGGTAGGGGAGACTGGCTACGATTGAAACAGGGTACGATTGAGATAACGCTAATAATTTGTAAAATATCAGCGATATAACAAAAATATCAAGATAAGAGAAATGCGGAATGCAATCCAGACTTGCCGCAGTATTTTTACAAATTCCAAGCATTGTCTCAGTCGTACCCTGTCCAAACCCTACTCAGTCAGCAACGCCATTGCGTGCCTCTGTTCATGCCAATTGCTATTGTCACTTCTATTTTATTTAATGACTTTTGTTTTTGTGGTGTTATACAATTGTTTTCTTAAGTTTGAAATCTTTATTTATAGAATATCATTACATGTTTTGCAGTTGTGCGTCCACAAGCTCATGCAGGCGAATGCACCAAATCATCGGCGTGACGTCATTCGGCGTCGGGTGTGCATTGCCTAAATTACCGGGAATCTATACCAGAGTCTCCAGCTTCCTAGATTGGATTGAAGACATCGTTTGGAAATAAATTACAGCAACATAAACACTTTATTTTTATCTTTACGTAATAAATGAAACAGGAGAAAAACGTTTACTTGTAATGAAAGGGTCAGACGCAAATAAATATGGAGAGTTAATTTAAAACATTTATTTCATAACTTTTGTGGGTTGTCAATAAACAAATTAACAAAAATAAATAAATCTAAACAATGAGCAAAATGCTTCATACTGCTGCGTTGCCAAGCTGACCTCAACTCAGTACAAGCTGTGAGCAAAGTCCAACGTTGTATTGTATGTGTAAGATCAGGCTGTACGAGCTATATTAGGAAAATAGCTCGTACAGTATCAACTAACCAATCATATTAAATGTTTATGAATTAAATTTTTCAACGAATAAATCGTTAAGACATAAAATTATCATCACTATGTACAGAATACAAAAATATTTTACGTGAAACGCCATCTAGGGAACCGTAGGTGAGGTATTTATTCCATGTCGATGCTACAAAAAGTAATTTAGTACATCAATTTAGTTTTTCGGAGCCTATTTAATGTAAATGAACATTACTATTGATTGTCCCATCGCCTCATAATCACCATTATTAAATTTGTAATTATCCATAATCACCTGGATAATTACAAATTTACAATACCTTCGTAGTGTTCTACCAAATTCAGCGTTGAATTACAAAGTAATATTTTAACTATTATTAACTTTGAGAGAATAATTTTAAAGTAGGGTCAATGCATCTGTAGCAATATACTCGTACTATTTAGCAACATTTAAACACTAATTTTGTCTTGCAACAACCATTGTAACTTGTCATTATATTATTTTTATAAAAAATTGATAGCATACCGCAATGTGCCTAAGGTGGACCAGGTGTGTGTGGTGGTTACCTGGTGTGGAACTGGCGCACCCACCCTAGTATATAAATATATTCATTCAGTAGGTTTCGTTTCGTTCATCACTTTTAATGTCATTACAGCATCTACAAGAGTCGACATCAATCGTGTGGCTTATAACAATAAATAAACAATTATCTTGAATGTGATTTTGAAGAAGTTTGAGTCAAAAGTGATGTGTGGGTTGAAATCATGAATAAATATATGTTTTGTTACGTAATATTGATACGAGGTAAACTATTATTTTTATTATAATAAACTACACAAGAAATACGTATGTATAAACGTCATTTCAAACTTTTTTGAGTGTTTTTTATTTATCTACTTAAAATAAATTAGAATTTAAACTTGATAATAAAAAGGATAAGATCAATACCGTCGAAATTATTCATAAATATTTTATTTTTAAATTCTATTTAATATAATAACTATATTTTTTTTCATTATCATTTTTCTTTTTTTACAAAAGTTTTGTAAAAGTAGTTCTATGATTTGGTATTTTAGTTTCTAAATACACCGATCTAACTTTTCAAATGAAAATAGTTTTATTGTAACGTCTTGCAGCGATATCCATTATGCATACGAATGAAGAACCAAAAGAAGAGGCGAGAACTTACTTTCATTATTATTATTAGTTTTTTAATTAACTCTAATTAATTCCAAGCGTGACGTGATGTGTAATGGGTTTACAGTGTTATTAATAAACAAGGTTTAGGGTTGGAGTAAATTTACGCTGAGACTGCAGTTAGTATAAGTCAACATTCATATTATTAAACAGAGACTTAGCAAAGGTTAACCTAGTACGAGTTTCTACAGGGTTAATATGTACTCCTAGAAGTTAGTAGATTTTCTTAATATCTGTATAATATGAATTTGATAATATGAATTTGGATAATACTAAAATTGTAATTTTAGCGTAAATAACAAAAACTAAATTTTTACTCAAGATTTTATTATAACAAAAAAGTTTACAACTTTTTGATAGACACTATCATAACTTCTTATTTTAATTTAAAAAACTACGAATTCTGCCTTATCTTGTACCTATGTGATGATATGGAATAATACGATTTTCCTTGACTTTATTAACACGATAAAACTAGAGGTATCAAACAATATTTAAGGAAAATACAAACTGAATACTCAGTCGCAGCAATGAATCATAAATATTAATTCAATAATAATAAAGTTATATGACATTTTTTTAATATCTACAACTTATTGCAATTCCCAATAGAAAAATAAGAATGAAAAGAGGAAGATATTACACATTAAATTAAACTATCATTTGCATTTTATTATAAAATTTAAAATTAAGTTATAGAGATGAATTCATAACAATAATAATACGTATCGATAAATCGTTGTTTTTAGGAAGAAGACGAAAAATGGGTTTGGGGCGACATGACAAATAAAAAGGCGAAAGTAAGTTTAACGTATTTTATAACATCATTAACATACAAAAGAAGCCAACAGCTAAGAGCTCAAGCCAATAAATCTCCACGCTGATTGGTTCTCGCTGCCTACATCCCGCGATTCCCGCAACCTTTATTAAATTGTCTGTCCACTTGACTGGTGGGAGTCCTACCCAACAAGGTTGCGTTCAATGCTGTTTTTTTACAAAAAATAATTATCATTTTACTTTATTTACCATTTTGGGTAGGCAGAGGAAACGTGGTATTACAAGATAGGATCCTTAATCTCTCAAGTTTCATTACTCTGTCATTTAATCAGTGACTTCAACCTCTCAGGTCACAATGCTTATTTCAAAGAATACTATACCTTTCCTTTCGTTTCATTTATTCAACAAAGCATGCATCTGCTCACTTTGTATTGTAACTTTATCATCCATTGTGTCTTTATTACATACGAGTGTATAGGGTTTCAATGGCATTTTTTTTATTCTTATATTTTTTCAGGAAAGTCTTACACGACGACTAAATAGCGAACCGTGTGAACCACCTCCGAAAATGCCTGACTTTAGAAAAACAGGACGTAGGATTAGTTACGTGAGTTAGTATCAATGATTTAAAGTAACATTATATGTCGTGTGTAAGACAATTAATATTATTTTAATAAATGGTAAGAATAATATATCGGTAGTTGTCATAGATGGATCAGTTATTCGACCTACATATAATATATTAAAAAGAGAAACTGTCCTGACGTACAGTAGACAACGAACAATATCATTTGTATTTTTGGCTCAGTTACAATCTGGTCAATAGGGTAAGCTTGCATTACATATCTATGTAAAATACCATGGCGATTCGAAAATGTCAATGGACAGTACTCTCAAAACCAATTTCCCCTATACCGCGAACCTCATGATAATCTATCCAAATTTATTGTATTAAAAATACGTAAATTACAGACGATAAATCAGTGCACGATATTACGTTCCTGATGGTAAAAACGCAAGTAAGTATCCAAAGTATCCAAGAATGACGACAAATACGTTATTATTAATAGTCAACTTACCTACAATATTGTGACTTATAAGTGTTTAACTGATTACTACTAAAAGCAGACTGATATGAAATTCTGTATACTTTTTTAAAATCTTATATTATTATTTTCAGAATGTTTGGAATATATTTGGGACATTAAAGAAAGAGAAGAGAAACATAAAAGAGAACTTGAGTGTGAGTTATTCTTAAATAATCATTGTATTACTCATACATGTATTCAACACAGTACAAGAAAAAAGGTGTAACATCTGGATTTTCTGAAACTTTTTTTTAAATTCAATTTACAAAAAAAAACCATCGGAAGTAAAATTACAGTTTGACTACTAGTAGAAGGCATAGTGTTCTGAATTGACTTTTTAAAGTAAAAAGCGGTTTTTATATGGAAAAAGAGATCCCAGGATTAAAATTAAAATTCATTTCGACATACATTTAAACAAAGTATAATTTTTAAGTCATAAATCTCAAGAGTCGTTAAAACAATGAACATGTGTTCATTAGTGATGGTATCGGTGGCCGTATCACTTTGCCTGGAGAGTTTCCGCATATGGTAAAATTAAAAAAAAAACAATGAATCTATAAAATTTTCCAGCAAATGGAATAAGACTTAATTCAAAGACCATTCATCATTTTCAAGTTAAAAATTCCCATATTATTGCTAACTAACAGCTAGTCGACCTATCACAGTAGAAATTATCAATGGCTATCCACCGGTGCTAGTTGGTGGATTTCAATGAATGCAAATATAGCCGAGACCAGCGGCTTAACCTGCCTTCAAAAGTATTGAAGAGGTCGAGCTAATAAATTTTTGGTCACCCACCAACTGACCAACCATTGCAAAAGTTGTATAACTTCAGTAACTACTGACCGAATGTGCTAAGCAATACATGATTGAACAGCCTTAAAATTGTCCAATAGCTAATATATTATAATTTAATTATTAATTATTATGTTAGGGTGCCATCGGTTGGAAATCGGCGTCAGGTGGAGATCGACAATGGGTTTTCAAATAAGGCGGTTCCCTCATCAGCAAGAAGTTCGTGTGGACTGCTGCGCACTGCTCTAAAGCTTCAGAGCGGGATACTATCATCTTAAATGTCGATCCCAAGATTGTGACGTTGGCAGATAAAAATATGCTGGTGAGGTTATATAACACGAAGTTGAACAAATAATATATATGTATAATTAAGGTTAGAACATCAAACTAGAATCACTGTTACCTATGTGTCAGCAGTACGCTTATATTATAACTTCGTAGACTGAAGTTAAAATAAAATTATTATAAATCTCTATTCCAGGAAAGCGATAAGCTTGGATTTAATGTAGCCCATCGGGGTGCAGATATTTTAAGAATTTTAAATCATCCTGACTACAAACCTCCAAAGAAGTACAACGATATAGCCATCATAGAATTAAAGAATGAAATTCTTTTTACTATTTTTGTACAACCAGCTTGTCTTTATAGTGGTCCTGATAGTGAATTGATTGGAAAAAAAGCTTACATGACAGGGTGGGGCGTGGTAGAAACAGGTAACTAAAATACTCTGTTTATTTCATGGTATTAGTTCCGAATACTCCCATCCTCACACTACTAGGTAAGTGATAAGAGTAAAGGTATCTCCGACGATACTGTTGGGAATTTGTCTCGATGCCTATTTAATGCAAACAAACAATCTTATCTTTTCTCTTCATTATTATACATTGTTTAAAGCAAACCCATTTCCAGCTGTCTGTATACTGAGATCTTCTATATAACAGAATGGATTTTAAAGCGCTCAAAGGGAATGTTTATATTTATGTGGAAGGTATCACGCAGGTGAATTTACTGACAGAAAGCTATTATAGAATTAGTATAAAATATAAATTAATCCTAACGTAGTTTACAGTTGTGCTTATACAAAAAAAAATTAGTTAAATATTGCTGAACATTAATATAATAGCATTTGACTAGACTATTAATTCCAGTAGCATAACATTTAATGCTACTTACAAAATATTATCTGATGCGCTTATAAAAACGAGCAAATGTCACATTCCGACACATATAATTTCAGTCAACTATACTACATCACCTGAGCTTCAAGCAGTATTGCTAGACATATTAGATACTCCACTGTGTGACAAGGTTATACAAAACTGCGAAATTGCTCTAATCAATTTTTATAAAACAGTTTTGCACTGACTCGCTTCGGAAAAACGCGTCTTGTCTTGAACTAGTTTTAACTAAATACAATTTTGAGCATTCGTTAATACTAGTTTTAACAAAGGCATTTAGTAAAATACTATAATAGTTCAAACTAGAAGAACAAATATATATCTTTTGTCTTTCAGGGTAATTCAGGAGATCCATTACAAATCGAAATTTCCACAAGAAAATCAAAAGTAAGTATTCTTAATTGAACCGATTTATTACTTTACTATACGAAAAATATCACTTAGACTGGATCGTACTAATCAATGTGCCGTCATGAGCTAGAAGGTACAGTGCTTAGTACGTTCAGTCGGCGATGCGTAAATTAAGAAGCTTTCTCAAAGACTGGTCATAGGGTGACCAAAAATTTATTATCCAGCTTCTTCGTGCTTCAGAAGACACGTTAGGCCCTGCTATATCTGTAGTCGTCAACGGTAGAAATAAACTTCAGGAAGTAATACACTCCTTCAAAATAAAACCAAAACATTGACGATGTTTGTTACTTCTGAACGGATATTGATAACATTTGGTGTAAGGATAATTCTAAGCCTGGATTACATAAAAGCTACATTTTATCCCATAAATAGAGATAAAATTACAGCAGAAAGCTAGTCATATATGAAACGACTTCCATAGCCGAGTGGCTAGCATGCAAGTGTCAAGAAGTCGACATCTCTGAGGTCCCGGGGTCAATTCAGTATGAGGTTTTCTTGGATCTGGATAACGTGATACCTTCGATGTACGACAATACCTCTATATTGTCGTTAAATTATCTAATTTGGGACCTGGACAATGTATATGATGTTGTCTATCAATTAGTTTGTCCTTACCTATATAGGTAGAAAATCTTTCCTCTTTATAATATTATAAAGAAAAAAGATTTTTTTTTAGTTTGTTTGCATGGAATAGACCCCAAATACTACTGGACCGATTTTAAAAATTCTTTCGCCTACGAGAAGCTACATCATACACAAGTAAAAGGCTATAATTGACGCGGACGAAAATAGTACTCTAATATTTATAAATATATTTTAATTGGATATGTTTCTGTTTTACAGCTGTGAATCCAACGTCACATGCAGGCGAATGCACCGAGTGATCGGCGTGACGTCATTCGGCGTGGCGTGCGCATTGCCCAAATTACCGGGTATCTATACCAGAATCTCCAGTTTTCTAGATTGGATTGAAGGCATCGTTTGGAAATATTTTTTAGCAACATAGAATCTTTATGTTTATCTTGACATAATAAATTAAACACGAGAAAAACGTTGTTTACTTGCAGTGGAAGTTCCAGTTTCTTTATCCTTATTTATCTATATTTCCTTATTTTCTTTATTTGTAATGTAGGTGTCTTTTTAATTTAGTTTCAAGGCCAAATCAACAAAAATAGTAATAAAAAATTTACAATCTGTGTTGAGAAAATTAAACGTTAATTACAAGCTATTTTATTTTATTTTATTTTTATTGAGCCACTTACAGTTCGTCACAGAGAGACTTTCCTATCACAATAATATTGATATAGACCAACCCATTTACACTGTATTATATTTCAATATCTTATTTATAATTTAATTTGTAACACTAAAATCAATAAAAAAAGGTTTCCCACAACGCGCTTAAATGATTTGCTAGTGTTACCCTATACTTGGCTTTGGGTATTATTCGATACATTAAATTTCAAATTTGTTTATGATCTGAAAAAATAGTTTTCACGTTTATTTATTTTTCCATGTTGTAGAAATCATTCTTGAAAATATATAAAAAAAAATCCGGTTATGGAACAACTGGATCGTTAGTAGTTCGCATTTTCACGAAATATCCACCTGCGCCTACACAACGCAAGTTAATAAAAATTCAATAAAATAATAGTTATATTGATCGAGTAAAAAACAAAAACAATTAGTATCGAAAACGTAGTTTGCATGAATTCTATTTTTAGTGCTGTTAAATGCACAGCAAAGTTATAAAATCAAATGTTATTTTCGAATGTATACGATATGGTACACTGCCAGAAAGCCAATATTATAAATATTCTTTATTACGTCTCATAAACATAACCCCGTTTGTTCAGCTTACGTGTTTTTATAATTGTGTCATTCAATTATATTTTATTTATATTTATTTGTTATAATAATATATTTCAAATTTTAATAAACGACATAGTTAGTGTAACAGCAATAAAACACACCTCTATAACTTTAGCACTTTTCCCATAAGTACTAAAGCTATAGAGGTGTGTATCAAAATAATAATAGATAGTATCGAAATATATCAGGGATATAGTGTTTAAAAAAAAAAAAGAACGACAAGGACCGTCCTTTGTGGGGCTCGATTCTCTTTGCTTACACCGCAGGGACTCCTAGCATAAAGAATATAGACATTGATTAAGAATATAGCTTTTTCAGTCAATTTAAATGTTGACAGTGAATTGTTAGTTTCAACAAAATCAGACGCTATCATGTGAAAATTCATTACCGTAACTGTAAAATTACAATATTTAGCTGAGATATCCGTGACACCATAGGTTATCAGGGTACAGTTATAGTTCTCCTGAGGAAACTCTAGGAGTGATAAAACATGTATAGTGTAATAGTTGATGGTAGTTGCGAAAATTGTTTCCACTTATAAACGTGAATTTATTTGTGCCTGCGGGCGGTGAATAGATATCCTACCCGCCCATTCGCAAGTAAATCTTTCATATGCGACTGCTATGGTAGTTACCGTTAATTTACTGTTACATATTTTTAATGATTAAGGTCGGAAATCATCTAAATTTTGTCAGTATTGTGTAGTCAGTATCGTATGTAACTGATCTGTTAGAAAAAAATAGCTAAATCATGTACATACTTATTCCCATAAATAAATATTCTTGATTCTGCAGATCAAGTAATAGTAATTTAGATAAGATCTTGCAAGGACCTCATAATAAAACTTTATAAATTCTGATATGTTGTATTATAATATATGTTGTTGTAATATATTCTCGTCAAAATACGCTATTTATGTTAAAATTTGTTTAAAATATAACATATGCAAGCCTGGGAATGTGTCAGATATGATACATACATTTGATAATGTTGATTTCCATAAACTTAGCAATGTATATGATACGTTTAATAAATACTAAAATATGGATTGTTAATTTTTTTAGTTATCAAATCCTCTTCTTTATATGCCTAGATCACGTTTTAAAGGCAAAAAATAATGATTTCTAAAAAAATTCGACGTTTATTCGCTTCGATAGCTCATAAAATCTATTGCACACACGCCGTAGAAAATTTCTTCTTTGCTGTAGAAAATTCTTATTCGTAATTGGTTAATATAATAAAGGATATTCGTACAAAATATCTCCGCGGATAATATTAACGACCTTTACTTATATTAAGTCGTAGATTAAAAATTATGTACTTATATGATTGTTTATTAATTCAATAGCAGTATATAAATATATTAATTCAGTCGGTTTCGTTTTACTCGTCACTTTTAGTGTCAATACTACGTCTGTTAGCATTGACACCAGTCGTGTGGCTTATAAAATTAAATAAATAAAATTATCTTGAATAAGATTTTGAAAAAGTTGAAGTTAGACATTTTGTGTGAATAGATATCATGAATAAATATATGTTTTGTTGTGTTATCTTGATACAAGGTAAAGTTTTACTTTTTATTATAAGACTTAATATGGAACACATGATTGGACGTAATTTTAAGTTTTTTTAAAGTTGTAATTTTATCTATCTACCTATATCTTCACAACATATTTCTTGGGGTCAAACAGAAAAATAAATGCATAGCATAATTAATCACAAATAATCAGCCAATTTTTATTATTCTAAAATCATTTGTTTATTTCAAAGTGTCAATTAATTTAATACAATAAATATACTATCGTACAAAAAATTATAGCAATTGATAAAATTGCAAAGTTTTTCGATTAATCAAGGTTGGTGCAAATTAGAATTATTTTAATATTTCGAAAGTCTAAAATTACTAAGAGTTGTTTCAATTATAATATTCTAATGGCTTCAATCGATAATTGAATTTCTTGACAATTCTGTTTACCGTTTTTTTACAACATCACATACATTGCTCAAATTCCAAGATGAGTAGCTAAAGCCCCCGTATTATGGAGTATCTAAGACAACGAAGGTACCACAACACTCTGACCAGAGACAATATAAAAAAGTTCATTTTCTACATTGACAGGGAATCGAACCCGGGACCTCAGAGATAGCGACACCTCCCACAATCCTTTAATACAATCACATAACGTATATTAAGGATATCATCGACATCAACATGTTTGACTCAACAAGGTCAACTGCTTTTGTTTATGTTTGAAACATGTTTCCGAGAATTTAACTAATAAAATAATATTTGCTGGATACAATTAAATGAAACTATTTTGAACGGATGTGGAGTGTTTGATTGAATGACCTGTAAAGGGTCCAAAACGTAATGAAATCCAATATAAACATGCTACATCCGTTCTAAATATTTTTATTTATTTGTATTATTATTTTATTATCATTATTTTGGTGTCCAGTATACAGAATACTGGATACAATCTTTAAATCTTACTCATTAGCATTCTTATTTTTGTAAAAGTAATTCTATACAATTTTATATTTTAGTATCAAAATACATCGATCTACTTTTCCAATAAAAAATAATTAGTTGTAATGTCTTGCAGTGTTATCCATTATACATACGAATGCATTGCCAAAGGAAGAGGTGAGAATTTTATCTTTATTATTATAATATCATTTTGATTCGTCATCATGAACCCTGTCCTGTCACGGCCTTCCCTATGGATTAAATCAAATAAAATCGAAGTGGGAGAATGCGCCATGATCCACCAAACGGGCAGCGGATTGGTGGGTATTGACTACTGGAGATGAAGCGGGGCCAACGGCTTAACGTGCCTTCCGAAGCACGGAAGAGCTCAAGATAATTAATTATTGGTCACCCATCCCATTGCTGGCCCTTCCGAAAATTGCTTATCTATTATATTGTAGACCGAGCGCGCTAACCACTGCGCCATCGAGCTCCTCACTGCGCCAATTTGATTAATTTCATTTAAAGTCAACTATGACTTGATGTATGACATTTTAAAATATGTACTGCTAGGCATAATTGTTAAATATGTATAGCACCACTATGGTAAGAGAATGGTTCAATTTTGTACCTTTTTCAATAGGTACATTAATGTTTAAAATCAAATTGACAGTTTTTACATAATATACAGTCAACAGCACTTAAGGTTACACAAATCAGTCAGTCTCCACTTGAAGCTAAATCTTAATGTTTCGTGGTAACCTGATATGCAGCCTTGTGCACGAACAGTGCAGGGAATTGGCATTTTGCACTTGATCCCAACAGTTTGTAGAAATACTTTTCATGATCAATGAATTAATACTGATGCGTTGAGAATTGGTTCATAATATATTCAAGTTGAGATCGAGTGAACAGCAACAACTAGCTACCTGC